GTCCGCACCGACGTGTCCCTGCGCGACATGAACTTCCCGGGCGTTGCCGCCAACGACGGGCGCCGCATCGAGGTGGTGGCCAACGGCCCCCCTGCCTACCACAGCAGGCAGCTCGCCATCGACGCCTGCATCGTGGCCCCGCTGAGGGCCACCGGCAGGCCGATTGCGCGGAAGCCCCGCCCAGGACTCGCGCTGAAACGGGCGAGGCGCCGCAAGTAGACGACTTACCCTGAGCTTGTGGGCTCGCGGCGGGGCTACCTGCTCGTAGCCGGAGCAGAGACGGGCGGCCGCTGGGACGAGGAGGCGCACAAGCTCCTTGTTACCCTGGCCCGCGCCCGGGCGAGCGCGCCGGCGGCGCTGCGAGGGTCGCTTGCGACTGCACTGCTACACAGCTGGAACGGCATGTTGGCGCACGCCATCCACGACGCCCTTGCCGCGAGCCTGCGCGAGGACATGCCCTCCGAGACGCGCTGGCGAACAGACCGGAGAATCCCTGGCGAGGGACGTTTTCAGGTCGCGCTCCCCCCTAGACACCGGCACCCGCCGCGGAGCGCGCACGGGCAGGGGGGCAGGGCGGCACAGCAGCAGCGCAAGGAACGCCGAACAGCAGCTACTGTGAACAGCAAACCACAACCACCGCCACCAACCACCAGCACAACTAAACGAACGAGCGCCCCCAAAACAACCTCCACCAGCACGACGAGACCACCGACGACCAGAGGAGAGAGAAGGACCACCACGACCAGCACCACCACGGCCAGCACCACCGCGGCGACCAGCACCACGGCGACCAGCCCCACCATGGCGACCTGCACCACGACTACGCGCCACCACGGCGACCACCACCACGCCCAGCACCACCACGACCAAGAGGACCACCATGATCAGCACCAACACGGCGACCACCACCACGACCAGCGCGCTACGGCCAGGAGGACCGCCACGACCACCACCACGACCACGGCCAGCACGACTGCTGCCAGCACGACCAGCACCACCACCGCCACGACCAGCACGACCGCGGCCAGAGGACCACCACGACGACCACCGCCACCAAGACCAGCACAACCACGACCACGACCGGCACCACCACAGCGACCGGCACCACCACGGCGGCCAGCACCACCTCGACCAGCATCACCACGACCAGGAGGACCACCACGGCGACCAGCGCCACCACGGCGACCAGCACCACCACGGCGACCAGCACCACCACAACCAGCACCACCACGGCGACCGGCACCACCACAGCGACCAGCACCACCACGACCAGCACCACCACGACCAGGAGGACTACCACGACCAGCACCACCACGGCCAGCAGACCCCCACCACGACCAGGAGGACCACCACGACCAGCACCACTACGGCGACCAGCACCACCACGGCGACCAGCACCACGATTACGCACCACCACAGCGACGAGCACCACCACCAGCACCACCACGGCCAGGAGAACCACCACGACCAGCACCACGACCAGCACCACCACGGCGACCACCACCACGACCTGCGCGACCACGGCCAGGAGGACCACCACGACCACCACGACCGCGGCCAGCACCACCACGGCCAGCACGACCACAGCCAGCACGACCAGCACCACCACCACCACGACCACGGCCAGAGGACCACCACGCACGACCACGGCCAGAGGACCACCACGACGACCACCACTACCAAGACCAGCACCACCACGACCACGGCCGGCACCACTACAGCGACCGGCACCACCACGGCGGCCAGCACCACTTCGACCGGCACCACCACGACCAGGAGGACCACCACGGCGACCAGCGCCACCGCGGCGACCAGCATCACCACGGCGACCAGCACCACCACGACCAGCACCACCACGGCGACCGGCACCACCACAGCGACCAGCACCACCACGGCCAGCACCACCACGACCAGGAGGACTACCACGACCAGCACCACCAAGGCGACCAGCACCACCAAGGCGACCAGCACCACCTCAGACACGACCAGCTCCGCGACTACGCACCACCACGGCGACCAGCACCGCCACGCCACACCACCAATGACTGACTACCTACCACGACCAGCACCAACACGCGACCCACACCACGACAAGCGCGACCACGGCCAGGAGAGCACACAACCACCACCAACACCACTCCACGGCGACCACGAACCACCAGTGACCACGGCCACCGACCCACACCACCACCACCACACCACACGACCACGCCAAGTCCACGATGACCAAAAAAAAACCACGACCAAGCACACCACGCCCACGCCACACCACAACGGCGACCGCCACCACCACGGCGACCAGCACCACCACGACCAGCACCACCACAGCGACCAGCACCACGACTACGCACCACCACGGCGACCAGCACCACCACGGCGACCAGCACCACCACGGCGACCAGCACCACTGCGACCAGCACCACAACGACCAGGAGGGCTACCACGACCAGCACCACCACGGCGACCAGCACCGCCACGACCAGCACCACCACAGCGACCAGCACCACGACTACGCACCACCACAGCGACCAGCACCACCACCAGCACCACCACGACCAGGGGAACCACCACGACCAGCACCACGACCAGCACCACCACGGCGACCACCACCACGACCAGCGCGACCACGGCCAGGAGGACCACCACGACCACCACGACCGGCACCACCACGGCCAGCAAGACCACGGCCAGCACGACCAGCACCACCATCACCACGACCAGCACGACCACGGCCAGAGGACCACCACCACCACTACCACCACGACCAGCACCACCACGCCCACGGCCAGCACCACCATGGCGGCCAGCACCACCACAGCGACCAGCACCACCACGACCAGCACCACGACCAGGAGGACAACCACGACAAGCACCACCACGGCGACCAGCACCACCATAGCGACCAGCACCACTACGACCAGCACCAGCAAGGCGACCAGCACCACCACGACCAGCACCACCACGACCAGCACCACCACGACCAGGAGGACCACCACGACCAGCACCACCACCACGACCAGCACCACCACGGCGACCAGCACCACTACGACCCGCACCACCACGGCGACCAGCACCACCACGACCAGCACCACCACGACCAGGAGGACACCACGAGCAGCACCACCACGTCGACCAGCACCACCACGGCGACCAGCACCACCACGACCAGCACCACCACGGCGACCAGCACCACCAGGACCAGGGGCAGCACGGCGACTTACAGCACCACGACAGCAGCCAGCAGCACAGAGGAGGAGGAGGAGGAGGAGGAGGCGGCGGCGGCGGCGGCGGAGGCGGCGGAGGAAACGCTGGCGCTGGCCCGAGGCAGCGCGGCGGCGCGGAGGGCGAACGCACAGCCGCGAGGCGCAGCGCCGCAGCAGGTTCGTTCACGGGCAGAGGGGGGGGATTCAGCCCTCCTAAGCCACAACCCTCTGCCCAGCGACCTGCGGCGGCGGGCGCGGCGCCAGCGGCGGCAGGCCGGCGGCGAGGCGCGGCGGCTGCGGCCGACGTGCGGCAGGCGGCGCCGGGCCAGGCGCCGCGGCGAAGCGCGCGGCCAGCGGCGGCGCGGCCGCGCGGAGGCGAAAGCTGCGCCGCCAGCGCCGCCCCGTGGGCGGCGGCGGCGGCACCGGCTGGCGGCGGCAGGCCCGGCGGCGCGGCGCTGCGACGAGCGGCCGGCCGGCGACTGGCGGCGACGGGCCGGGCGCCGCGGCGCAAGGCGCCGGCTGGCGGCGGCGGCTGGCGGCGGCTGGCCGAGGGCGCCCCGGGCGCTCCTGGGGCGCCGAGGGGCTTGGGGCAGCTGAGCGGGAGGCTCCCGGCGGGGCGGCTAGCTGGCGGGAGGTTCGGGGTTGCCCTGGCTTCGGCCGAAAACCCCCCGCTCCTTCGGGGCGCGCCCCCGCCCCGCACTCACCGTGGGCGCGCGGGGGGTCCGCGCTGGCCACAAGGGGACGCGGCAGCCTTGGGGTAAGGAAAAAAAAAACTTCGCCGTCCCTGGGGGGCTGCGGCCTGTGAAACTGTTGCCACTTTCGAGTCCTCCTGGGGGGCCCAGCACGGGCACGCCACGGGCGGATTCATTGTTTTTTTCGCTTCCCCTGTTCGCTCCTCTCCCAGTCCCAGTCCCAGTCCCAGTCCCAGTCCCAGTCCCAGTCCCAGTCCCAGTCCCAGTCCCAGTCCCAGTCCCAGTCCCAGTCCCAGTCCCAGTCCCAGTCCCAGTCGCAGTCCCAGTCCCAGTCCCAGTCCCAGTCCCAGTCCCAGCCCCAGTCCCAGCCCCAGTCCCTGGCCGAGTCCGCAGCGAAAGAGTGCGCTGCACCCGGCTCCCTCCGGCTGGCTCCCTGGCTGGGCTGCCGGCGCCCGCTGTCGCCTTCCCTCACATCTTGCCGTTGCAATTTAATTGCAACGGCCGTTTTGAAGTGATTTTTGGGTTATGTTGCAATTTCTGGTTCGCAGTTCCCAGTGTTGCAATTTTTGTCAGGATGTTGCAATTTTTGTCAGGATGTTGCAATTTTCGTCAGGATGTTGCAATTTTGTCAGGATGTTGTATTTTTTGTCAGGATGGCTCAATTTCCTGATGTTCCCTGACCGACACCAAAAACAGTACAGACATGCATATGTGCGACACACCCATTTAGCTATACCTAATTATGTACACACAATTTAGGTTCGCGCGCGTGTATGCAAGAACGTCGCCAATCATTGTGCATGTATGAATGTATGTATGTATATGTATGTATGTATGTTTGTATGAATGTATGTATGTATGCATGTGTATACATATATGTATATATAAATATGTGTGTGTGCCCAGTACTGGAGAGGGCAGGGCCAGGTTGCGGAGCAACCATTTTCACAGGGCCCAGGGACCCTCAAATGTATCGATCTGGGTCAAAAAATGACGCAGGATCCAGGACTCCAGCCGTGATTCGCCGCGGGCTCAGGGACCCTCAGAAATATCGATCTGGGTCGAAAAATGACGCAGGATCCGGGGCCCGCGACTCGCCGCGCGCAGCGCGCGGCTCGAGGGTGCCAGCCCGCGCGCGCCAGGCGCGCGACGCAGGCGGGCGGATGAGGGGAGGTTCCTCCTCCTCCTCCTCCTCCTCCTCCTCCGCCTCCTCCACCTCCTCCTCCTCCTCCTCCTCCTCCTCCTCGGGGGGATGCATCGCGAATGCGTTCCCCTTTTCTCGGTCCTCCTCGTCCTCATCGTCTTCCTATTCCTCGTGTTCCTCCTTTTCCTCCTCCTCCTCCTCCTTCTCCTCGCCCCCCTCCTCCCACCCGTCGTGGTCTATAGCCCGACCTCGGGTCCTCCCACCCTCTTCCCGCCTGCAGCGCCGCCATGGAGCCCAGCCGTGGCCTCCGCCGCGGGCCGACGGCGGAGATCGACATCCACAAGTGTGCCCAGGCGCGGACGGGCAAATTCCACCAGCCCATCCAGAAACCACCCAGCCCACCAGCTCATCCAGAAACGATCCCGATCCAGAAAAGGATGCACTAGTCCATGGGATCCCACCCACCCATATTCCCGAGATCGAGCGGGTTGGAAGAGCTAAGGTCGGGTTCCCCCGCCCCCCCCCCCGCGCGAGGCCCTGGCAGTGCAGGACGACGACCCAGACGTGCCGAAGCTGCCAGGCGCCGCGGTGCATCGATCGATCGCCCCTGCCTGGATCGATCTAACTTCATCGCCCCCACCCCCCCCTCCCTCCCCGCCACCCCATTCGAAGGTCGTTATTCTCATCGGTCCTCCGCGATCCCTCGGCCCTTGGATCTTCGACCCAGTCGATCCTCGATCGAGGATCGAGGATCGAAGGGGTCGAAGATCGATCGATCCGCCCGCTCGAGGATCGATCGATCCACCCGCTCGAGGATCGAGGGGAGGAGCGATATGACAGAAAGATCGATCCAGGCAGGGGCGATCGATCGGGGGCCGCTCGAGCCCAGGTTTCAAAGGGATCCCGAACTGGAGCGCCTACTCGCCGCCGAAGAGCGGCAGCCGCCCGACCCCAGAGCAGTATATGGTCAGGGGGAGGGGGCGATGCTGATGATGATGATGATGATGATGATGATGATGATGATGACGATGACGATGATGACAATAATGCTGATGATGATGATCATCGGACTGACCAGCGTCAGAGGAGGACGGGGAGAAGGAGGACGCGAGGGAGGAGGAGGAAGAGGAGGAGGAGGAGGGGGAGGAGGAGGGTGGCCATGATGATGTTGATGGTGGTGATTATGATGGCGATGGAGGTGGTGATGCTGATGGCAGGTGCGACGATTCTGATGATGGTGATGGTGATGATGATGCTGATGATACTGATGGTGATGGTGTTGATGATGGCTACGCTGATGACGGTAATGATGATGATGGTGCTGACTATGCTGATGAGGATGCTATGGTGTTACTGATGATGATCATGAAGCTGACGTTGATGTTGGTGGTGGTGATGATGGTGATGATGGTGGTGGTGGTGGTGATGGTGATGATTGTGCCGTCATCGTCGTCGACCGTCGTCGTCCTCCCCGACGTCGGCGGGAGATGTTCGACGCCACGTTCAAGGCTAAGCAGGACTTCACGGGCGGCATGCGCATCAGCCAGAAGAGGATGGAGGCGCGACGGGAGGATAGGGGAATTACACACGGAAGAGAGAGAGAGAGAGAGAGAGAGAGAGAGAGAGAGAGAGAGAGAGAGAGAGAGAGACAAGCGAGAGAGAGAGAGAGAGAGAGAGAGATCGAGAGAGAGAGACGAGAGATCGATCGAGAGAGAGAGAGAGAGAGAGAGAGAGAGAGAGAGAGAGAGCGATCGATCGAGAGAGAGAGAGAGAGACAACTTAGGCGCGAAAAAACTATCTGAGGAGGACGAATAATAGGAGGAGGAGTTGGAGGAGCAGCTAGGGAGGAAGAGGGGGGATGGCGGTAATGGAAAACTTGAGGAGGGTCAGAGGGAATGTACGGAACTGTGTTTCAGAGAGCGGGTTCGGGAGGTACGGGAGATCAACTGATCGAGAAAGAGGGAAGGGGGGGAGAGAGAGAGAGAGAGAGAGAGAGAGAGAGAGAGAGAGAGAGAGAGAGAGAGAGAGAGAGAGAGAGAGAGAGAGAGAGAGAGAGAGAGAGAGAGAGAGAGAGAGAGAGAGAGAGAGAGAGAGAGAGAGAGAGAGAGAGAGAGAGAGAGAGAGAGAGAGAGAGAGAGAGAGAGAGAGAGAGAGAGAGAGAGAGAGAGAGAGAGAGAGAGAGAGAGAGAGAGAGAGAGAGGGAGCGAGAGAGAGCGAGAGCGAGCGAGAACCAAACAAACAGAGATCACTCGAATCCAAACTCGCCCCCTCTTCTCGACCCCCCCCCCCCCTCCGACCTCCCTCGATTCTCGATCGGCACCTCGACTCCCCTAGGCCCCGTCTGGGTCCTCGGCCCCCTCGGCCAGCCCCTCGATCCTAGTCGTCGATTCTCGAGCCAACGATCCTCGATCGATCGATCGAGGATCGACCTAGTCCTCGATCCTCGATCGATCAATCGACGCAGCGAGCGCAGAGGCGGTCTGGGACGAGATGCACCACGCCAAGTTCGTGGACCAGTACCGCGAGCAGAAGGGCAGGAAGCCGACCAGCAACGCGCTGGCAGGGCACAGGCTCACCAATATGAAAACTATAGTTCGGGCACGTGTTGTATGTTAACTTAGTGTATATACATTATATATCTAATGGTCATGACACAACGCGTGCCCGACTATACACATATATGGCTATATGTGTAGATCTGTGCTCACGGGGGGCTGGGGGCACGGTTGTTTGCATACGTATATATATATGTATATATATATACATGTTCAAGTGAATGCATGTATGCGGTAAAGTCTATGCAACTGGATATATCGATGTACATGTATATGTGTACAGACGTAGGTGTAGTTGTATATATAACACGATATCAATGTAGTCGGATTTCGTTGTACGTGTGCATTCGTATGTGCAAGTGCATGTATACATGCATGCATACATATACATGTATACATGTACACATATATATCTATACATCCGTACATACATACATACACACATGGAATAAGAATGCACAACCGTAGTCGGGGTAAGGGGAGGGGCTCGAGGAGGAAGGGGGCATCCAGAAGGGGAGAAGACCTGCGCACATGTTAAGATTGTGGTCTGCTCTCGATTCCCTCCTCCTCCTTGACCCCCTTCCTATCCCCCCCCCGCCCATCCCTGCGCCAAGTGCCCCTCCCCCCAATCAAGCCCGCGGGGTGCCCAGCCAGGTTTTTGCAGTGCAGGGCGCTGCGCATCGGCTTCGTTCACTGGCAGAGGGCCCTCCTGGCGACGATGGAGCAGATGGACACGCAGGCCGGGTGGGAGCGCACGTGCGTACGCTAAGCATTCAAGTATCAGCATGCTTACTTAGTTGTATGATGTATATAAATATGTGTATATATGTATGTACGCATGTGAACGTTATAGCTAGGTGAGAAAGTATGTATGTATGTATGTATGTATGTATGTATGTATGTATGTAGCATGTAGATATGTATGTATATACACGTATATGCTCTTAAGAAAAACTACACCTGCGGAATCCAACGTATAGTTTATGAATATGTGTGCTCATGCACTGCACGTTGGATTCCGCATCTTCTGGGAGGCCATGGGGCCCTGAGGCTGATCCTGCAGGGACCGACCTTGGGGACTGGTTGTCAACGGGACTGCGATTGCGCACGTGATCAGCTGCAGGTCGAAGTCTCCGACGGTGACGAAGTCGAGAGTGTAGACGACAGTGTGCTCGGCGAGCACCTCCGCCAGTCCCTGGAGTTGCCTGAAGACGATGCAGTCGACCAGAAGATGATCGAGGATTTCAAGGGGTCACGTGGGCGGGGGCCGAGTGATCCTCAGAGATCGGAGGGAAGAAGCGGGAGGAGGGCGGGGATCATTAGGATCACGCTCCTCCCTCGCGACTCCCCTGCCCCCCGCAATGCGAGGCCTCGATCGAGTGGCCATCCCTTCGGACGATGGGTAGCCCCATCGCTCGAAAGGTTGATCACTCGAGTCCCGTCTAGGATGGCACCCAGATCGTCGCGGCCCTCGAGGATGGCACCCAGATCGTCGACGCGGGGGAGGATGGCACCAAGATCGTCGACGCGGCCCTCGAGGATGGCACCCAGATCGTCGACGCGGCCCTCGAGGATGACACCCAGATCGACGCCGACGCGGCCCTCGAGGATGACACCCAGATCGACGCGGCCATCGAGGATGACACCCAGCAGATCGACGCGGCCCTCGAGGATGACACGCAGCAGATCGACGCGGCGCTCGAGGATGACACCCAGCAGATCGACGCGGACATCGAGGATGACACCCAGATCTCGAATACGAACGCCCAGGCCGACAGCGCATGGATGGCCCCGTGCACAGCGTCGAGTCCGAATGGCCGCATCCCGTTCTTGAGGACGATCAAGGGCATCACGATGCGCAAGCGGCCCAAAAAGGAGAAGAAGAAAAAGAAGTCCACGAAGAAGAAGAAGCTGGTGAAGGTCGAGGATGCCGAGACGCAGGATCATGATGAACTGGTGGCGATCCCTGTGGGCCTGGGGAAGAAGGATAAGAAGGAGGTGCCCGTCGCCAAGAAGAAGGAGGTGCCCGACGCCAAGAAGAAGGAGGTGCCCGTCGCTAAGAAGGAGGTGCCCGACGCCAAGAAGGAGGTGCCCGACGCCAAGAAGGAGGTGCCCGTCGCCAAGGAGGTGCCAGTCGCCAAGAAGGAGGTGCCCGTCGCCAAGAAGGAGGTGCCAGTCGCCAAGAAGGAGGTGCCCGTCGCCAAGAAGGAGGTGCCCGTCGCCAAGAAGGTGCCCGTCGCCAAGAAAGTGCCCGTCGCCAAGAAGGTGCCCGTCGCCAAGCAGCAGGTCACCAAGAGGCCAGCCGCCAAGAGGCCGGCGGCCGCCTCGCCCGCCAAGAAGGCCAAGGAGGAGGACGGCGCAGACTGCGCAGAGGAGGGTGCTGGCCCAGAGGGCGCAGAGGACGCAGAGGAGGGCGAGGAGGAGGCCGCTGAGGCCGAGGAGGAGGAGGAGGAGGAGGAGGAGGAGGAAGAGGAGGAGGCCGAGGAAGGCGCAGCCGATGAAGTTGCAGCTGAGGAGGAGGTGGTCACGCAGATCGAGGATGAGGATCCCATGCACGCGTGCTTCCAGACGGACGGCGGCGAGATGGCCAGGATCAAGTACCTGCGCCGCGACAGCGAGGGCTACAGCACGCTGGCGTACCAGCGTTCGTCCGACGCTCCGAAGTGGCTGCAGCTCGTGCAGGTTGGCGACAGGACCTTCTCGGAGGTTCTGGTGACGAAGACCGACCGCCGCGAGCTCAGCGACAAGCTCATCAGGGGCATCTTCAATCAGATCGTCAAGGAGAGGACGATCGACAAAGACAAGATCAAGGCGATCAAGTGCCAGATCTTCGCCGACATGAAGTCGTAGTTCGACTTGGCAACTCGGGCTGAAGGTTGGATGAACATGCCATGGAGGGAGTGAGCTGATGTAGTGACGATGTTGATGATGCTGATGATGCTGATGGTGATGATCATGATGATGATCATGATGATGATCATGATGATGATGCTGCTGATGACGAATATGGTAAGTGTGTCGATGACGGTGGTGATGATCTCATTGATGCTGATGGTGGTGACGATGGCGATGGCGATGGCGATGATGATGTTAATGATGATGGCAACGATGGTGATGACGATGCTGATAAGTATGCTGATGACGGCGAATATTACGGTGGTGATGTTGATGGTGGTATTGGTGATGACAATGACGATGATGCGGGTGACGACGACGGAATGGAATAACGACGGTGATGCTGATGGTGATGCTTAACATGATGATGCTAATGCAGCGTTTGCTGCTGATGATGATGACGAAGACGTTGATGATGACAATGATGAACACGATGATGATGATGATGATGATGACGATGATGATGACGATGATGAAGTTGACGACGGCGGTGATCATGTGATGACGGCGGCGATGGTGATGGTGATGTAGATGTTGATGATGATGCTGATGCTGATGATGATGCTCACGATGTGACGATGATGATGGCGATGATGGAACACCCATCGGGCATCATAAGGATGCGGTATCGTGAACGGGCGGGGAAGCTGAGGGATGATAAGTGTTGCTATCAATAGATGTGTGCGTGTACACGCTTACGGAGTTAGATGTGCATCTACACATAATGCTTGCAATCGCTATGTATGTACAAGCATCTATGTATGCACATTTATACATATGTATATATACATGCAAACATAGATGCATGTACATACATAGTGATTGCAAGCACTAGGTATGTACACACACATCGACTCGGGACGGACTCTACACGCTGGATACCCCTGCTGCCCAGGTGAGTGGGCGCGGCCGCGCGCTTCGACGCCCACGAGCCCTTCGACAGGGGAAGGGTTCGTGGCATTCTTTCTTGAGGGAAGTCGAGAGATCAAGATCTCTCGAGGCGCGCTGGCACCCAGCAACAAGAAGCGACATATCGATCGAGATTCGTTGGCCGACGGGCGACCGAGAGATTCGTTGGCCGACGGACGACCGATACGGAGGTAAGGAGGAGCAACGAGGTCAGCAATAGGAAATGCGATAGGGGGGAGGAGGAGGAGGAGGAGGAGGAGGAGGAGGAGGAGGAGGAGGAGGAGTAGGACGGGTGAAGGAGGACACATGAGGTGACCTGCAAGTACTCTCGTGAGTTAGCTGCAGATGTGCACATGCGCGTGAGTTGTTGAGGGGTTGCTGGTGGGTCGACCGATGTGCGGAGCTATAGGATGAATGTGGATATTGTTCGCAACTCATGTCCGTGAGCTCCGCATGCTGGCACCATCTCATCAGCTGGCTGCTCGCCATGGCCTTTCCAGATCGACCGCGCGGAGCCCCTCCAACGCTACAATCTGGTCCTCGAGGCTGCAGGCGAAAGGGGTTGCATGAGGGAGGAAGCATCGACTAGCAGTTGCGATACCAAGAGGGAGGAGTGTGCGTCTCCCTGGGAAGTTACGGTGCCATCTCTCGCACTACGGGGGAGCCACGGACCCACGTGCAATTAGACGTGGTTTGCACTGCCTGTGCGTACGCGTGCTCATATATATATATAGAGAGAGAGAGAGGGAGAGAGATTCATGCATGGGCTGGCGTGCATTTAAACGTGTGGTGGCAATAATGTGTGGTGTGCCCACATGCATAATAAGATCATGATGTTTCCAAGTGCATATCTGGATAAACGCATGCCATCTTGTGCTACACGGGAAGGGCTGCTCGCAATCCTGGGTTGCACGCCCCCCGCCCACCCCCCCACCCCCAATGCATGTGCATAGGACCACCCAGCAACCCCACCCACCCCCGCTGGATCCGCACATGAATTTCGCGAGCCTCGCGAATGGGATCGCCCACCCACCCCCAGCAGCAAGGCGCGGCGCCCCCGCCAAGCGCATGCATTCCCACGCCCTGCCTGTGGGTATCGAGTCGCATCGTCGACGCCGTCGCCGTCGTCGGCGTTCGTCGTCGGTGCCTCGTCGTTGTCGCCCACCCCATCCAATTGACCAGGGGGTGGGTGGGGGGCGCGGCGGGGCCCATGTAGAATTTACACATTGCGTATGTGCACACATATGTGTATGCATAGGACATGTGCGTATGTGCATTTATAATGCATGTATGTACACTTATGCATGTATGTGTGTATGTGTGCATGTGTGTATGTATGTACGTATGTATGTATGTATGTATGCATGTAGGTATGTATGTATGTGTATACGTATGTATGTATGTATGTATGTATGTATGTATGTATGCAGAAGCGTATGTAGATGTATATATGTGTATGTGTTTGTTTGTGCGTGAGTACGTGTGTATGTATATGTGCGCATGGATCAAGGCGTGCGCGCACGCGCGCGAGTGCACGGCGCATGCTGCAAAGAGACAGACCCGCCGCACAGGTGCACCTGGGCTTCCTGCAGGGCGCCAGCGTTGCATCCGTACTCGGCCGCGGACATGACTTCTATGGCCACGCCGAACAAGAACGCCTACCCTCGGGTCTGTCGGGGGGCCCGCCAAGGGCCCCATGCCCTCGGGGGCCCTCGGGGCCCCCAGCCGAGGACCCCGCGGGTCCAATGTCGCGGGCCTATATATAGGGCCTCGTCGGGCCCCAAGTGGCCCGACTAATTGATCGAAGCGCGACGGGCCGCGCCAGGCCCGTTGGATCGATCGGGGCGGGGCCGCGCTGGCCTCCGAAACCCCATCGGAACCCTCGGGGGCCCGCGCGGGCCCCGTCGGGGCCCGCGGGTGCGTGGCGTGGGCCGATCGGTCTGGCCCAGGGGCCCATCGGGTGGGCCCGAAGCCCCATCGGAACCCTCGGGGGCCCAGCTGGGCCCCGCGCGGGCCCCGTCGGGGCCCGCGGGTGCACGGCGTGGGCCGATCGGTCTGGCCCAGGGGCCCATCGGGCGGGCCCGAACCCCCATCGGAACCTTCGGGAGCCCATCAGGGCACCGCGCGGACCCCGTCGGGGCCCGCGGGCGCGCCTCAAAGGCCCATGGGGGGGGGGGCGCCGACGGGCTTTGGGCGCCGCGGACGTGCGCCCCGTGATAATGTTCCCGTAATGTTCCGTAATGTTCCGTAATGTTCTCATGTTCCCGTAATGTTCCCGTAATGTTCCCGTAATGTTCTGTAATGTTCCGTAATGTTCCAATTTTCCCGTAATGTTCCCGTAATGTTCCCGTAATGTTCCGTAATGTTCCGTAATGTTCCATGTTCCGTAATGTTCTAATGTTCCCGTAATGTTCCCGTAATGTTCCGTAATGTTCCGTAATGTTCTAATGTTCCCGTAATGTTCCCGTAATGTTCCGTAATGTTCCGTAATGTTCTAATGTTCCCGTAATGTTCCCGTAATGTTCCGTAATGTTCCGTAATGTTCTAATGTTCCCGTAATGTTCCCGTAATGTTCCCGTAATGTTAATGTTCCGTAATGTTCCATGTTCCGTAATGTTCTAATGTTCCCGTAATGTTCCCGTAATGTTCCGTAATGTTCCGTAATTTTCTAATGTTCCCGTAATGTTCCCGTCATGTTCCCGTGATGTTCCTGTAATGTTCCGTAATGTTCCGTAATGTTCTAATGTTCCCGTCAATGTTCCGTAATGTTCCGTAATGTTCCAGTTTTCGCCCGCGCCCTAAGGGGCGCGCAACCCCGTCTTTTGGGGGGGCGACGACGCGCCGTGCCCGACGGTGCGCGGCGCTTGCGCTGCCCGCGCCGATCGGCGGGGGCGCGCGCCCTGGAATTCCGCCTGGCGACGAGGCTTGCAGGCGAAAGGGGATCTCGCACCCGATCTGGATATTGCGCACGAGGAAAAAGGGTGCGTGGCGCACGCGCGCGCGCGTCCACGCGCGCAACCGCGCGAGGCGAGAACCGCGCGCCGACCTCGCGCCGCATTGCGTCTGCGCGTGTGTGATGTGCGTGTTGCATATTTGTATATGTACATGATATATGTATGTATGTGTGTATATATATATATATACCATGCGCATTTGTAAGGCAGCGTGCACGCGTACGATATCTATGCATGTGTGTAACGATATCTATGTGTGTGATATGTACGTGTAGACACGCGCACGCGCGCGCGCCCATGCGCGCGCGTGTGCACGCATGCCACAACAATGATCTGGATATTGCTGCACGGTGAATTGCTGGCCCTCTGCCGACCGCGCTTCTTGTGGAGACATCGGAACTATCTCGACCCCGTCCCCGTGTTTGCCGCAGGTCGTTCCGGTGCGCTGCGCATTCATTCCGTGGACCAGGGAGCTCTATCTGTAGGCCCGATGGAGATCGGGAGGCGACGCAATGCCGCCGAAGGGCAAGCCTGGCGCCAAGAAACCGAAGGCCGACCCCGAGACTCTCAAGCGGGACAAGGCTGCGAAACGCAAGGCCAACGCTGATCACGAAAACTTGATGCAACGCTTCAGGACGGCTCGCGGCAGGAACATGTGTAATTGTGCACATGCCCAGAATTCGCGGCCATCCTGGCGCGCTCCGAGCCCATTAACCCAGGGCCCATCGACGAACCCCATACCTCTAATCCCTTTCCTCGTCGCCCCCCCTAGATTTTTCCTTTTCGAGGACGGCCATGGCCAAGGCCAAGCAGGATGTCAAGGATGAGTACAAGAACTACTCCAAGGGCAGGGACGCCGAGTGGATCGCGAAGTTCAAGAAGTACGGCGCGACCCGTGTAAATCTATCCCACCCCGACGCACAGCCACTGCCACGTGTCAGAGGGGGATACTGATATATGTGTATATCGATGTACACACATGTACGTATGCTTAGGTGTATATATATATATATAGCTATATTTGTAAGTTTGACATACCAACGCACTCGCATGAACAGACTAGACATGTGGAGCGTGGTATCTATGTATAAC